AAAGTAAGGTATAAAACTAAAAGTTACTTGTTTTCTGTTGTTTGTTCACTACTTGCTTCCTTTACTAAAAATAACAGTAGAGCCCAAGTCAAGCAAAAGTAGAGTCTTTAATAGAACGGTAGCTAGACGTCACACATGAAGCTCTGTCCAGTTTGGGTCAGAGCAGTAGAAAACAACAAGCAGGTTGTCAGGGTCGGTCCATCTCTGCTTCTAGAAAAAAAAACATTGCACACTTTCCTGATGGTGAATTAGTTGTCAGTTGTCATGCTCAGCCTCTTCCATTTTATTTTATTTTTTGAGGCCACTGGAGTTGTGACTGGCCCAGGGTCACACAGTTAGTGTCAAGTGGTGTCTGGTCTGAGACCGGATTTGAACTCAGGTCCTTCTGATTCTAGGGCTGGTGGTGCTCTATCCACTGCGCCACTTAGCCGCCCCTGACCTCTTCCATTTTAGTGCAGAAAAGTAATACCTCATTTTATGACTTATAAGACTTCTGCCTCAAAACAACCCTGTGAATTAAGCAGAGAGCCCTAGTAATCCCATTTTTCAGGTGAGGAAACAACAATTCAAAGCCATTAGGTGACCTGGCCATGGTAAATCAAACTTTAAAGGAATCTGCTGTGCTCAGTTTTAAGGGGCTATAGAAGAAACTGACTATGATGAAGTGACCTTAGTATTATTATATTACTCAGTGCAAATTAGGCAGATGGGGATCCTATCTGATATGGGGTCTGAACATCTGATCTAGCCTTTGTGTCCGTGACTTTGTCAATGGGCAGACGATACCTGGATCATAAAGTGCCTCTGTTTATCATCAAGACTAGGTGTACAACTGACTTTTAGAGACTGGCTGACCTGTAGCCATTCAGTCTGGGACACCGTAACACATTAAGTTAGTCCAGAATCTAGCTGAAGAGATTAGAATGGATGTTCTGAAGCTAAGAGAAGGATGATAGGGGCAGCTAGGTGGTGCAGTGGATAGAGCACTGGCCCTGAAATCAGGAGGCTCTGAGTTCAAATCTGGCCTCAGACCAAACACTTGACACTTACTAGCTGTGCGACCCTGGGCAAGTCACTTAACCCCAGTCGCCTTTAAAAAAAAAAAAAAGGGAAAAGGATGATAGCAATTCTGTCTGTAACACATAGGAAAGTGTGCGGGAATTAAAAGCCATTCTGTGTCTTTAGTAATGAATAGCAAGGAGGTAAGTAGGCACTCAAATTGGGGGATACTTCTTAGAAAAAACTTTACCACCCAAGGGGCAGGTGGCACTAATGCATCTTTTCTTCCCCTCTACACAGCCACCCATCCTAACCAGCTTTCAGACATAAGACATGGACATACAGATCAAACTGCATACAATAAACATATAGAATATCTAAGCTTAACTAAACATCCTCGTTTCACAGATGAAGACACTGAGTCCGCAGAGGTGACGCGGCTTGCTGGACGTCACAAAGCCCATAAATGGCTGCCCCGTGACTAAAGCCCACATCTGCAGACTCCCCATCTGTCTACTTTTCTTCACAGGAGTCGTTCCTGGACAGGAGCTTCCCCTTCTGTAAAAGGAAAATGCTCCCCTGCGGCACTGACAGCGGAGGGGACGATGGCCTGTAAACACTGAACTTGGTCCTAAGGTTGTTTTTTGTTCTTACGCTGAAATTATATTGCGCTATACATTGTTCAAACTAATTAGTCCTCAGCAGGGGCTTGGAAATCTGTCAGATTTCACTGAAAACTTTTCACTGCAGTGATTTTTAACAGACTCCCTATTAAAAAGAAATATGAGAGTTGGAGCCGATTCCAAAAACAGGAAGGCTAAGCTAGGAACTAGGAGACCTGGCCAGTTTGTAAGTTTCCTGTATCTGTTTTTTCACCTACACAGTTAAAAATACCTATCTTACCTGTATCTCAATGTGATATAAAGATAATTGGGATAATGAATGTGAAAATAGCTGAAAAAGATGAAGACCAAACAGCACATTAGGCTTAAGCATTTTCAGTGCTATGGGTACAATATGTTTCTGGGCCGAGGAGGGTTTAGATGTAGTACTATCAAACTAGAAACAGACATTAGGAGAGATGTTAGGGTATTCCATAGGAAGTTCATGGACTGGTTATCCAAAGGATCAAAGCTTGGTCTGCAACTGGTGCTCCTCCCAAGTACTACAGCACACATTTACCTAGCAACCAGACATAAGCAGCAGCACACTAACACACTGTAGGAGTAAGAGGCGGAATTTCTTTTTATTAAGGCACATAAGTTATGTTTGGGGCCCAAGAGCTATAGTAGCCTCCTGGACTAGAAAAACAAGAATTCTCCCAGAGATAAAATTTCACAACAAGCAGCACCTCTTTAAACCAAAGTCCACTTTCTCAATACAACTGCTGTAGCTTACTATTATGGAGGCTCATCTACAGAAAAACTCATTCCCAACTGAAGAAGAGAAAGGTTCATCCGTGAGCAAGCTTGAGGTCCAAACAGACCCAGAACTCTTGGCACTTTGACTCCAAGCATTTCTCACCCATGGCTAGCTTCCTGGGGAAACTTGCATATGTGACCCAAGAGCTAAGAGCCTCCAATGCTTTGTGTTTAAACATCCCTTCTACTAAACACCTTCATGGGTACAGGGAAGACCCATCATCCCAAGTAACTATAACAGCCATTTGCTCCTCTGCAGTTTAGGAATGGATTTCCCTGCTACCATAAATACTGTCTACTGCAAATTTTTAATTTGCAGAGTAATGGCTTTGAGCAGAAGGATTATACTGGAGCTGCTTTCTCTGCTTCTGCACAGCATCCCCTAAATGGCTCTGGGCTTTTCTTTCATCGGAGAAGAGGCTGCTTAGCCCAGTACATCCCAGGCCTATTCCTGGGCCCTGCAAACCACAGTTCATCTGAATCAAGAAGGCCAGGAGAAAGCTGGACTCCAGGTTGAGGGTCTTTCTCCAAGTTCCAGTGACAAGAGAGGTTCCTTGGGCATCTTGCTGCAACAGCTCCCTGCCTTACCCTTCCTGTCCCTCAGTCATCTGTTCTGAGGGCAGGTGGTCCGGGTATGTCCGGGCTGGTGACAGAGGCCACATTTCCGTATTTTCTTTGTTGTGGGTTCAGTGTCTGAGTTAGTCCTAGGTCTTTTGCTTTTGGCTTCTGACCCCTGGCCCTGCCCCCTCCCCCCAAACCAAACTGGTCCAGATGTTCCTGAGGAAGAAACAAAGAAAACATTAATTTGCAAGCTGAGTTATCAGGGTAACAGGGAAGGAAAGTCACAATGGTCAAATGAGAATGGTGTCTGACTGACATCTTTGTGAAATAATACACTTTAAAGGTTCAGTATGTTTTTTACTAGCCACAACATTTAGAGGCAACAATGAAGTTTTCTTTCACTCTCCAGAGTGGTAATGAGATATAAAAGTATAATAAACAACACCAACTTCTGAATACATAAACCATTTCCAAAGACCTTGAAGTGTTTAAATTCCATGCACTCTCACAGTGCCACAGGGAAGGATTTTCATTTTACAGAAGGGGAAATCCATGTTCATGGAAGACTCCTGGCAAGGACATTAAAGGATTCAGTATATCAGCAAGTCTCTTGACTGGCATGTCATTCCTACTGTATTTCTCACCAATCATGATTAAAATTTAGTGAAACTCTTTTAAGTTCAGAATCTCTCTGCTCTCCACAGGTAAATCTCTTGACAGCTATCAACTTTTAGCACAATTATTTGTGAGGCAATGTGTTGATACAGCAAGAAAAGTACTGGCCATAGGGTCAGACCTGGGTTCATGGCCTGACTCCAACCACCACTTTGTGACCGTGGGCTTGTGACCACAAGCCTTAGATTCTCATGAAGAAAACTGGTATAATGTTTGTTTACCCTGCCTATAACAAGAACAAACACTGATAAGTGCCTAGTATGTGTCACCAAGCTGGACGCTAGGGATAAAAAAGACAAAAATAAACAATCACTGTTAAATTCCAAGGAATTTAACTTCTCCTGGGATGGGGCGGAGGGGGGCATTACCACATGTACAAAGATGTGACTAAAGGCAATTGGAAGTGAAGGAGGGCACCAAGTGGGCCATTAAGGACAGCTTCATGGAAGAGTTAAAAGCAGAGGAGACCCTTAGTTTTGAAAATGAAAGGCAGAGGGGCAGCTAGGTGGCACAGTGGATAGAGCACCGGCCCTGAAGTCAGGAGGACCTG